AAAATCTTTGATACTATCCTTTAATTTATATCAAAATTGATTGATGAGTGCTTTATTATTCTAGTCTACATTGCAAGCAAGGTTTTGGAATTCATCGGTATATGTGGTGGCTCATCGTGATCCTTATCATAAAAATAAGAGTTTGATTTCTGCTACTCGTTCTCAATCACTTTCTCCAAATATGGCCGTAAACACTTCAAGGAATGAATTCAAATCATAAAGGAGTTACAAATCTTTTTTCATTAAAGGTGCAAACCAAGAGAGAGCACTTCCTAATAGAAGAACGCTTATGAATCCAACTTGAGTAAATCCATGAAGATATTGGAAAGGATGCAAGCTTAGATAGAGCTTGACTTGTTGCAAAAATCCTTGAAATTTTGATCTTGTTCCATTAAAATTCTCAAGCATATTAATCCTTGTCCTCATCATACTTGTAGAAACAAAACTCCATGGATTTGATTGTGAGATTGATCTACTTGCTTCCTTCAATTCCACAACTTTTTGCCACACACTCTAAAAATTTTTTATAGGTGTAGGCATAGTATCTCCATGATTTACATTAGAAATATATGAGATTTCCACTCTAAGACTATTGACAAGCTAATGAAGATCTACAATAGTTACAAATCTATTCTCACTTCCTCTAGGTGTAGCATCTATAATCTTTCTTTCTTTAGGCAACTCAAACAAATCCAAAAGGTTAAATTGGAGGAAGATAATCTACAATCTCTAATAAAAATTTCTACAAAAAGGGATAATCTACTCTCTTTAAAGAAAGATCAGTGTTAAAAAATAAAAAAAAAAAATTGTTTAAAAGATGGGTAGTCCGTAACCTTCAAAATACAATAACAGAAGTGAGATAATCTACTTACTTCTAAAACAATACAGGAATAATATATTAGCACTCTTATCAAATTGTCAGGAACATAAATTTTAAAAAAAAAGAATCTTCAATACACTCTTGTGTCACTGAAGAAAACTAGAAAGTCACTCAAAAGATAATGCAATATTAACTAGAATGGATATTGTCAAAAATAAAAAGATTGGAAAGTCTTAAAACAAGACTAAAGACTAGAATGGCATTGATAAGACTAAAGAAGGCTTCACTCTTGCCTCCATATATACTCTTAACTAGGAGCTACATGGCAATGTCCTATAGGACCTTCAAAACATGTTGACTTTGCAAGCCACATATCTTAACTTGTAAGGCAAGTTATCTATGTATGTGCCATATGGTTAGCTTGTTCTAGAAGCTACTATGCGGAATTAACTTATTCCACAAGCTATCAATATGTGGTTAACTTGTTGGCTAAGTTTCCAACCTACAAATACATCTAAAGTCAAAACCGCATCTATGAAGCTTCAAGGAAGCTTTACTAAAAGACTTTATAAAATTAATCTATATTTACCTACTTCTATTTAATCATATAAGTAATTATTGAAGTAAATATATATGTCTTGACAATATGTTGTCATATTGTGGTTTGGCTACCATGTGAAAATAATGTGATTATATATTTAATGTACAATTTACTTAGCAACATGATGAAAGCCATATTACTGGATTTTAGTTGATTGTAGAATGTGGTTAAATTACTACTTTAAAAGGAGGTTGTTTAAAAGGATTACTATTAGAATTTTTATAACTTTATTTTCTTTTGATACTGGCTTTTGAAATTGATTTTGTTAGTAGTAACTTTAAATACTTGGAGTCACCTTTACTAGGCATTATACTAAACCAGAATAAGACTCTAAGTATTTGGTATAGCCAAGAATGTTAGAAAACTTCTAGGTATTTTAGAAAGTCTTATATACAAATCTTCTTAAATATAAAAGGGTTTATTAATACAATATCTTTTTGATATTGTAGTATTTATTTGTCTTCTATTTTTAAAGTTAAATAACTTATTAGAGCTTGGCCAATAAGTTAAAATTAAACTCTCTATAATTAGGTACCTAGTATATTTCCAGATAAAAAACCATGCAATACGATAATGTTGTCATGATGTAATACAGCTAATAGATAAATGAGTGTAAAAATTATTATATTATAGAAGACCTTAGTTCAAAATATTATAGTAAATTATCTTAGAAATATAGATAATAGTCAAAAAGGTAATAAAAACTAAAAAGTGTTAATATTGCCTTTTATAAAATAGACTTCTATTTACTTTGTAGGACCATAAATAAAGAAAAATAGAATAAATTAGAAAATTAAATGATGGAATCATGTATAAGAAGGAATTAAAAATAGATTTTAGCAAAATTTATCTCAAGAAGCCAAGAATTGATATCCGAAAAGGGCTAGTTGTCAACTTGGATCAAAATCAAACCTTGAGGCACAAAACTACACTCCTATGGCAACTCTAGGGTTCTTTTGGAGATCAAATAGTGGAATTTGAAAGCAAACTGAATAAGGTTTCTATAAACATTGATTTTAGGTGATTTGAATTTGTAATGACTTTATAAAAGCCTTACAAAGTGAAGATTGTTTTAGATGACTTGGATTTTTGTGAAATAAAAGTGAAAATGCTTTTAGGATTCATAAATATACCAGCTACTTTTCAACATTAGATGAATGATATTTTTTATGATTTTTTTAATGATTTTATTTTTTTTATTTTGACAATATTCTAATCTATTTTAAGAACCCTAAAGAACATGAATATCATATTCGTTATGTGTTATAATAATTTAGAAATGCAAGATTATATATCAAAATAAAAAACTATATATCATATGATATTTATTTAAGATCTAAAATTACTGTGTATAGAAATCACAAGAATCTTGAGTATTTCATGTCAATACATATTTTGAATTATTACCAAGTTTGTTGGAATATGTTTTTATCAAGATTTGATTTTAAGATCACTATAGCTTTGGAAAATAATAAGGTTTATTAAATAATTTTTTTAGACCATTTCATCTTGCACTAAAAGAAGAAAGATACAACTTTTGATCAATAAAAAATGATTTTCTTGAAGTTAGAGCATTTTCATTTTTGAGCAATAAAATCAACACTGTTTGTTGATTCAATCTTTATCAAGTAAATTCAATAATGTATATCTTCTAATCTTCTTATTTATGATATCAAAAATAATTCTTTTAAGTCTTATGATACTTTTAAATTTGAGTTTAAAAATAATATACTTTACTTTGAAGAACAATTATATATTCTAGAAGGAAAAGCATGATTACATATTCTTCAAGCTTGTCATGACTTTCTAACAATCAGACATTTTGGATACAACAAAAATTTTGAGCTAATATTTAGAGATTTTTGGTGGCATCAAATATGAAAGGCAATCAAAGATTTTTTATAATCATATGATATTTATTTAAGATCCAGAATTCCTCATCATCGACCTTATAGACTTCTTCAGCTATTACCTATTGTACAATAACCATGGTCTTTTGTTTCTATGGATTTTATCACAGATCTTCTAATCTCAAGTTTCTATGATTCTATATTTTTTGTGCTAGTAGATTATTATACCAAGATGGCATATTTTGTACCATGTACAAAATCTATCATAAATAAAAAAATAACTAAGTTTTTTCTTGACAACATCTATCGATATCATGGATTATCTAAAGATATTATATCAAAAAGAATGACTCAATTTATATCAAGATCTTAGATAACTCTTTTCAAGATTTTAAAGATAAATATAAAGCTTTCTTTGGTTTTTCATCTTCAAATTCATGGAAAAACAAAATAGGTGTATTAAGTTTTGGAATAGTGTTTGAGGTGTATCATCAATTATCATCAAGATGATTGAACAATTCTTTTGCCATTAGCAAAGTTTGTGTATAATAATTTTATATATTTTTTTATTCAACAAACATCTTTTTTTTTTCTGATTATGGTTATCATCAACAACTTGATACTTTTGACTTTTTTAAAGTTAATAATTTTCTAACAAAAGATTTAGCAAATCGTTTGTAAGAGCTACATACAACAATAATGGTACACCTAAAGGGAACTTAAAAATGACAAAAGATCAATATGGATGCCAATTATAAAGAACAACCACAATTCAATGTAGGTGACAAGCTATGGTTACTCCATCATAATATTAAAATTACTTGTCCTTGTAACAAGTTGGACTATTGTAAGCTTAGATCTTTTCTTATTTGTGAATAAGTCAATCTTATTGCTTATTAATTATATCTATCAAAATCTATTAAGATCCATCTTGTATTTCTTCTGTCTCTTCTTGAGCCATATAACACAATAAATATCTCGAGAAGAAGATAAATTCCATCTTTTCTTATAGAAGTAAATAATAATTAAGAATTTGAAGTAGAAGAAGTTTTAGATTTAAGGTAAGACTAAAATAGATTGGAATATCTTATTCATTGGTACAGATATGATATTAGTGAATGTATATAGGAGTCAATAAAGAATTTTGCAAATGCAACAAAGAGAATTGAGGCTTTTTATTGACAACATCTATCAAAATCATACTAAAGAATTATAAGATCTATGAAAGATGATGATCCCTCCTCGTGAAACTTGTCCTTAGAAGAGAAGGTAATGTTACAGACATACATATTTACTCTAATATTTACCTATATGATTAAGTGGAAGTAAATAAAGTGGATTTAATTCATAATATTTTCTAAAAAAGCTTCTTAGAAGCTTCATAGATGTTATTTTGACTTTATATGTATTTGTAGCTGATTGATAAGTTAGAAACTTCATCAACAAGTTAACCATGTATTGATAGCTTGCAAAACAAGCTAATTATGTAGCACACATTTAAAAAACTTAAGTTGCAAGCTCTGTTTTCTCAAAAACTTCACCACTGATTCTCAATTTAGAACGCATGCTCGTGTTGCCAGTTCTATGGAATTGTTTCTATACAAGGTTAAATTCAGACCCTCTCGAGTTTGTAATCATACAAAAAATCGACGCTATGTTCGAGGATTGAGTCAGAACCATGTTATGAAATTTTGTCTATCATCACGGCCCTCAAAAAATAAACGTTCTGCCATGATATGAATTTCAAAGATAACCGATGGATTGTTTGTAATCATGGGCTCTCAACCATACGTTATATCCTATAAAGAAATCTCTGTAGTTCTTTTTATCAATGGACTACACTAGTGCAAAAATCACACGACCTTGGCAAGGACCACTCTAACCGGAAGACGAGACCTACCCAGGGAAGAGGACGAGACTGACTCACATCGATTAGAGAGGTTGTAGGCGACTGTGGCAAACGGGAGTTGATTGTCGAGAAATATAATTTTGGCACTGGGGAATGCAGCCACCAGCCACATCAGATTCAAGTTACGCAAGGTTGCCATGGCGTTGTACGCCTCGTCGCAGACAGAATAATTCTTAGCCACCGCAGAATATGGCAGGCACCCGACTGGAGCCAGCTTACTAATTGCAAATGTCCGAAATCCCAGGTTGTAGAGAGTAGTCAAGTCTTTCGTTAGCTGGGTGACTACATCCCTGACGAATTCTATGATTGAGAGGATGTCGGTAGAACCGTTGTTGAGCCGATATGCTGCGTAGTCATTGCCGGAGCTGGCGTACATGATAAGAGCCTCGCTGAATATAACATCTTTAGAATAAAGATCTGTGTTCAGCATGTCAGTGAGCTGGCGAATTTGATCTCCAGTTTTTGTAAATCCTAAGTTGTCGAAGACCCCACATCCTGCAACTGCAAAATTGATGCCATCTTCAAGTCGGGTCGAATTGGCTGACCCGTTGAGTAAGCGGTAGGGAGGGGGTTTGAGACCCATGAAGTCAGCTGCAATTAATGAGAAAACATCACAAAATCCTAAGTATGGTTGCATGTTGTTGTACATAGTGATTGAATCTGAAGTAACTGTCACAAATTGGCTACAACATTTACATGCGGCAGTAGCGAGCACCTAGATCGGAACGTACATTTAACCATGCCACATTACCAAGAAAATCAGAGAGCACTTTGCCGTCGGAGAATCGCCCATCTGAGTCTCCCGGTCGAGTTCGTCCATACGGTGGCTCCCGGTCTTGATTCACTCTGCCTATGGGCGTGTAGGTGCTGTTGTTGGGGTCGCGGTTGCCTGTGTCCACGAAAGAATCCCCGATGATGAAGATCTTCTCAAAGTCGCCCTTGCTTGCGGAACCTAGAGCTGCACCACCTCAAGATACCAGAAGAAATTTGTATCACTCTTTTACATGACAGCATCTTGAACTGGTGTTTAAATTGCATATGCTTCAACTGGAGTTTTAGAACACCACTTGTTGTGATGAGTGAACTTGAAGATAAATGTTCAACATTCCGTCCCACCCATTAACTCATTCTAAAGCAGACTGCTCTGCGCATTGCATATCAAGTTGCATAAGAACAAGATGCATATATGGCTTCCAATCTGCAGTATCTAAGTCAACTTTCTTCGCGTCAATGAGTACCCATCAACCGCACAATTCCTCCAGGCACCTAGTGTCAAGTGCCCTGGTTAGCATGTATAATACCAAGTGCCTGCACAGCAAAAGAGCAGCGCACGAGCTGCGATGCCTAAAGAGCGTTTATTCAGCCCCTGGATCTTCATCTAATCTAGGAAGAGTAGAACCCCTCCTCAAATGAATGCACCAACTGAAGCAATGCCGATTCAACCTTTTCACTGACTTTTGAGATTGCGACGAGGAGCCTCTCTCCCTGAACAAGGTTTTGAAAGTGCATTCAGCCCATCCATCTACATCTCAGTCCTAAAGATGTGTAACAGTTGTTAGAAATTGGAGAGGATCGATCCTGATTCTGATGGTGCTTCCGTCAACATGTTCTCAGAACTTGCTTTGCAATTGGGACATTAAGAGCTGAAAACACATCAGTGAGCATCGAAATAGAAACAAAACATTTCGCCAACCATAAAAGCATGCACAAATGAAGGGTCATCGACAACTTCTTCAATATTTCTGGTACGAAAAGTGGACTATGACTAGTGCTGTTCAACGTGATCCATTCAACGGTGAGAGTTTGTATTGAAATTCCATTGAGGTATCCAGAATGATTCAATGGGTTTCCAATCACATTCGCAGGTCAGGACTTAATTCCAACAATGTTTTCTGGTGGCTACTCTACACTCACTTTATTCATTGCAAGATAACACTGATTGTAATATTACTTATACCCGCTTTCTGTTTACATCTCACCAAGGCTGACCACTGGGCCCTAAACCTTGTATGCTGTACACAAGTGAAATCCCTCATCAGTTATAACTCAACCCTGCACCACTATGGCTCTCTGACGCTAGCTTTAAAAGTTGATTGTGCGAGAACTGGGCTAGGATAATGCATATTGAGAGCATTTCACCTGCACTAGTCACCGATTCAACAAACTCTAACTCGCAGTCTTTATTTGATTCAGTCCCTTGTCACATAAACCATGCCTAGTTAAGTAATATTCCGGCCCAATCCCTATTTGTAAAATGACCTCAAGTTAAAACATGTGGTTATAAACTTCCTTCTAACGTTAAAGTGGGAGATGCTGGAACCAGTCGGGTAGGCCAAGTGCTGGATACCCAGTTGCGTATCATTGTTCTTTGCAGCAATACTCTACGATTCAGTGTTATACAAGTGTCGTGTTTCAAGTACAAGGGCCAGGTACCTACACGATTCCCTGAAGACAAGGTGGTTGGATCCAGACAAAATGCTCTTGTCCCAAGAGTTCGATCTAATAAGAACTCTCTAATGCAGTACAACTAAAACCATTTGATCAACAATTCTACCCAAAAACGCATGAGCTTTGACCTTTGAATGACGTCAAGGGCCACAATCCAGACAGTGCAATTTATGGAACTGTGGGAGGCCTAACATATCAATGATGAGCTTCGAGGCTGTAATATACTTTTATAAATGAACACAAGAGTCGAGGCTTCCTCTCACAACTTCGGAAACTCGCCGAGGGTCTCACTTCGTGATAGACGGAGGATAGACTCATTACAGTGCCTCAACAGAGATGATAGAGCCCAGCTCATTGTCTACGACAAAACCGATGGATGCAAAGCACAAAATTTGATCGAAGGAGATAAATAACTCAGTCGAAAAAATAGTAAAACAGGAACGTTGTCGCACTCAATCACTCTCACAATGGTTTTTGCACTCCAGCCACGACGAGGTCGTGACACAATACAACGAGGATTGCACGCTCGATACATCGCGAAACCATCGTCATATACGCTAGCTGCACCACCTCCGCCCACATACTCATAAAACGGTAATAACTAAGACTAGCATCCAACAGAACCTATACAAACAGACCCGACCAAGAAAGAGGATATAGACTGGTCAGTCACTGCATTGGACCACTACAGAAATATATTATCCAACATGACAATGCCATGCTTGTTCAGGTCCCGGCGACCTCTACTCTTTTCCTAAAATATGTCTCGGCTGACTATAACCTCGACGACGCCGGCCCATATTCCCCAACATTTTAAGTTTTCTCAAATAGCTGATCTTCTGAGCTAGAGCGTCGTCCAGCTTTCTACCTTAATTTTATGCCTCTTCAAGATGTGTCGCAGATCCTTCTGCTGCCAATCAGACTCCTCGTACAAAGGCTGCCCCGCCGGAACTTAATACGACCTGATTTTTGTCCATCAACCGATCAACGTCTCCTTATCACCGTACAATTACCTTCATTAATTACTAACATTCGTATAAACAGCCTACCACATCCTTGCAGATACTCCAAGAATCCATGACCAACACCCCTACTGTACAAAGAGACACATGTTCGAACCTTAGAGACTCACCAAGTATCGTTACAAGCAATAAATCTTGCATAATTTGGAGCATAGAATGAAGTGGTGGAAAGTAGAACTGGCGTCGAATTACCCAAGAAAAAGATAACTGTGCCTGATTCCGTCCATATTATAACACGGAAATGAACATCTCAACAAGCTTCTATTAACTGTGTCAGCTCTGTTAGCGACAGACCGGTATAGTATACACTACGGATGTGATCATAGCACACTAAATGAACAGTCCTCTCAAACAACCCTTCATGTGGAGGGAGACAAGGTAGTTTTCCCAACCACAACATAAACTAAAATATCAGAATGATGGACTTGCTCAATCTATGATACAAGGTAAGAACTCTCGTGTGAGAAACCGATCTGACAAGTGTATCTGCCAAACAAGGCAACCAAACCTACCAAAGTATGCAAAACTGTTGCAGAGGAAGCATCTTCACGTTCCTGTAGCACCCTCCACCTAGATTACAAGAGTGATTCCTCCCTTCCTATTCAGCTTTCATTCAGGAAGTCACATTCTTGAAGCCGTGTAAGAATCTCTTCATAGCTGGGACGAGATTCTGGAACTTCCTCCCAGCAATCTAAAAACCAACACCACAAACAAGTCAGAACATCTATAGGCTAACTAACGCACCTTAGAGGAAAAATAAATTCCATCACCTCAACTCACAATCTCAAACCTTCAGCATACCAGCAATCAGTTTGCCAATGAAACCATCTGGTATCTCCAAACGAGCCTTTTGATGAGCAACAGCATTCACCACCTGCGCCATCCCAAAAATCAATCAAAAACACTTAGAAGAATATGTTGCTAGACATCGACCTAGCTTTTAATTCCTGTAAGTCATACTGACCAGGATCACCTCGTATTCAGCATATGCATACAGACTGAAGCTTTCACCACTAATGAAGCTCTAACCTGGCAAAGACACAACGCAAAACTAAACCATATCGATTGGCAATAGCAGGATAAGTCCACTTTTGCTCCCTCATATGAATAGTTCGAACCAAGTGGCAGGACTTACTTGCATGGGCTTGACCCCTTCCCAAGGCCGTCTCAATGTGCATAGCTCCCACATTATGACTCCTAAACTGAAGACATCGCACTTATATGTGACTGGTTCATTTCGCAATAACTCTGGTGCAGTCCACTCAGGGGTTCCCCCTGCAGTTTCATCACAGTAAGTGGAGCCTGATAGGACTCGGGACAAGCCAAAGTCGCAAATCTTGACACACCAGTGCTTGTCCACCAAACAGTTCGCACTCTTCAGATCCCGATGAACAATTTTCATCCGTTGCACACTCAACATTCCTCTGAAACCACCAAGGCGCATCCAGTACAGACAATGTCAGATCTCTTACATCAAGAACAGAGCCCTAAACAACATGAATTGAAAAGGACAATATGCCTCAAATTTTCTTGCCAATTCAAGCGGACTACAAGTGTCTCGGAATACACTGTTTACACCTGAGGCGTGTGCGCATTATCAAGTACACGGAATACAGATGAGTCTCAGATATCTTGAGGTAATTGAAACAATGACCAGAGTTCAATAGTATTCCAGTCAAAGTCAGAGCAGAGACAAAACCTGCAGATATCACGAAGCATCTTCAAACGACGCCGCCAGCTCAACTTTTTACCCCGCTCACCCGAGTGAATCAAACGGTAAAGTGAGCCATACTTCATGTACTCCGTCACCATAGAAAGATGTGGTGGCGTTGTACAAGCTCCTAGAAATAATATCACTGCAAAATATAATTTTCCAATGAGAAGTGAAAGAAGTCTTTCAAGATTACGACAATACGCATCAAGGTAACAATATTCTATTATAAAATATCCATTTCTAAGAGTGAAATAACTAAAGACTCTACTCATACGTCAAACTACATAAGATGGATCTTACCATTTGGATGCCTTAACCGGCTGCAAGAGAGACACAGCAAGAGAAGATGTACATTAGTCATTCCCAGTGATACTTGTCACTAAGTAACATGAATACTTGATACAAACAACACTGCTCAGAAAGACAGTCTGCGAAACTCTGCAGGGTCCATGAAGTCCTGTGGCCAACCTTAACAATGAAATCTCGTTGCAGAAGTCTTGCATGTTTTCATCAGTAAGGTCTTGTTCAAGCATCACCTTGATGGCAACTTCAGTGCCTCTCCAGATACCACGAAATACTTCTCCGAAGGATCCTGCATGGTTCAACCAAAACATCTCAGAAAGACTAACTATTTGGCTTATATTCACAAGACAACATTGATGCATACCTATAATAGCGAAGAATTAGTACTAATTAATTCGAATCACTTCAAAAAAATACAGCTCACACCTGATCAGTAAAAGTACCCTGCGGACAAAAATGCAAATAAGGATTAAAGATTAGAGATTGAATGTCGGAAGTACAGACCGATTCCTACACGGACACCAATCCGAAGTTCTGAAAATTCAATATTCCACTCCGGAAATGGAAAAAGAGGTTGGCTTGGTGGAGACGCTGACTGCATCGGCAGAGTCCATGAGGCTGCTGCACTGTTTGTGTCTGATACGACACCAGACGATCCTTTCCAAGCTGCTTCTCCATTATTTTTTGAGGTCAATCTGGATGAGTGAGAATCAGATTCACTATTGCCCATCACATTGAAGTCATAATGGCTTGGACCAGAAACTTCCTCCCTATGTTCCTGTTTATCATCAGCATCTGCGTTGCTAGCATCTAGTAATTTCTCAGAAGCCTGTAAAAAATCAAGCCACCACGTGAGACCATCCCAGTTAATCAAAACGCAAGAGAATGTGAGTATCTTTCGAGTATAGGCCCTAGGTTGAAATGCGTGCGAAACAATTGTTTCAATAAGATGAAACGTGAAGAGAGAAGCAAGCACTCAGAAACCTTCGAGTAAGCAACAAATAAACCCTGCTGAAACGCATTTTTCACTATATTTGATAACGCCATGATCACAACGACATAAAGCCAAGAAGACACACCACTTTGCCTTCTCGACTGCAATTCAGCATGTGACCATCGGACGAAGAAGAATCAGGGTCCTGTCCTTTTTTCCGAGACCGCTCTTGCTTGAGAGCCTCATTCATGGCCCTTACAACCCTGAGAACGCGAAGTACAACCATAAAATCAATGAATACGTTCATTCCTCGTCTCTTGTATGCCTGATTTATGCCGAGCTGCTACAATAGGGAATTAAAAGGCGAATAGAATGGAAAAGATCTCAAAAATCAGCAGGTTATGACACGTAATTGCGGCATTCAAATGTTCCTTATTCATAGTTAGACAATCCAGTAACAAATGAGCTTCACTGCATCAAAAATTTGAATTGAAGATGAAGATGCCACCTGACAACCTCGTCGGGAACCTCAGGTGCAACAGTCCGTCTCCTGGGCCTTCGCATTTCCGCATGTGGATTGTGCCTTAACCTGTCAAACGAGACTTCTAGAGTGAAAATGTAAATTACTTCAAGCAACTTCCCAAATGAATACCCACACAGACCAGGTTAAATATCCTAAAGATATTTAGAATCTTGGAAACCGTAAGAAATTGGTAATCTTGGAGGCCCCTAACAGCGATAACGTATCCTATAATCCACAATTACTCAATGTCCATGCCTCATGTTGACAGCACCTAAGTCAACAACCTGCTTCTCCGCTCAATCACATCGTCAACAAAGTTACGGAAGTGCGTAAAGTAATAACTGTGATGATGAAGGATCCCCCACGCTTTGAGGAAGGTCCGTCCCCGTTGCATCGTGCCTTACATCAACAGATAATGCTTTTTCCCGCCTACAGCAAATACGCCATTTCGTCAGAGAAACTACAAGAGTTAACTATTTGTCATTTTGTGCATACACAGACTAGTAAAGCGCAAGCATAAGTACATCGATGTGAGTCATCCTGACCACCACTCAAGGCAAAACCTGCAGCCGAGGGAGGTCCTACATGAATTGTTTGTAGGATAAATTGTTTTCAAGATCTCCTGCTCTTGTACTCGACAAAAAGCCTGACCTCCTCCTGATCATAGGAGCGATATTGTTTGTCACGCTCGGATGCTGCGGCGATCCATCTGGACTGTACATTATACGTCTTACTATAAGAGCAAGTTATATGTTCACTGTGAATCGTGTATTACAAGACAAATCTTCAATACGTTAGAAAGTTCACGTGCTGATTGGTATCTTGAATATAATCATGTCTGCAGTGCACTAGTCTTATATCTCTCATGGCTGACATGTGTCATGCCCAAGCAAGGCTGCCAAAATTAGACATACCTGGAAGTGGTCTCTCCTACATGCAAACGACTCCCACTCAACATGGAATGCGCACGAGGTCTGAATACTGGATATTCAGGACTGCTGAAAGGAGCAAACAACGAACAAATCCAAATCAGAAATACAAGAATGAAACAACTACCAAGTCAACCCATGCCTATAAAAGTCAGCACAATCTAGCAACATTACATATACGAGCTTCTTCTTCATGTGCTGCATAAGTCACCTCGCACACTGCACTAAAACTTCACTTGAGTAGACGAATTCCAACCAATGATAAGAGTAAGTGAATTTAGAAAGCCACCATCCGAGTGATCAGCTAACTTAAGTTGCACCACAATTTAATACTTGTTTTAATCAAAAATACAACACAATACATAAAAATAAAAACTGAAATCAAGTTTCTGACCTGGGAAGACTTCCATCGTCTGATCCCACCTGCTGCGACGGTCGCAATCGAGTTTGCACATGCTCTGGACTGCATTGTGTAGGTACATAAAAGACATTGAATACACCTCCTCATAATCGTAACAGTGGGAACTATTTGTGTGGAAAGCATACGTAAGAAAGCAGCTGTAAGCGATTTTCGAGAACGTTACTTAGGCATCTGACCTGGAAGGAAAACTTCGAAAACCATCAACACCCAGATTCCTTTGCTCCAGCTGATATTCCGCACCATGATCGGGACTAGTGGAAACAGTGTCAAGGAGACAAATTTACCAGCAGATATTGTAAAATTTTCCAAGTCATCACACCCTCAATAAACAAGAACATGAATTATCACATGCAGTTTTCTTTTTATTTCCCTAACGTTCATATTCCCAGGTCATATTGAGCAGATGGTGATCCTGTGAGACGTTCCTAAATCCTTCGAGATAAAATATATATATATATATATATATATATACATTAAAGGCGAGAGAGAGAGAGAGAGAGGAATTTTCTTAGTGCAGCCTTCGGACAAGTCAAGAAACTAACCTGAGACTGGTATTCTGCTCCTCAAAGGCACGTCGTCGATTGCGTCGACGAGGATTGACTAGATCTGACTCACTCCGAGATGGACTGCACACGCACTTACAAGCTCGTTTAAGACCGAAACAAAGATTCAAGGCAATTGGCTGAGGCGCTATGCATCATTACTTGCCATCTTATGATACTGCGTTACAATGACTTTCCAGTCAACGCCGTCAGAAGTATCATAAAGGATGATATTACATACAGATCATTTCTGAACGCCGAGGTGAAAGCAAACTATAAAAATAACTTGATATGAAGTTTTTACATTAGTACATCAATTGTGCACGCTCATTCAACATATGGAAATCGACAACTAAGTTCCTTACTCCTCAAGATCAAGTTCAGTGTCGCAGAATAATGAAATTTTAAAACCAGAGATATCAAGTACTCAAAATCCAACTCCAAAGTAAAGGCCCGAACCAATACTAAGACGCACCTTAATTTGCCACAAATCCCAAGAACTGGATTGAAACCCAACCCTGCAGCAGCAGCAGCAGTCCGACCTCTCCTTGTATATAGTGAACGACCAAATTCTATACCCTGCTCCAAGCTGAATGACCCAAATAATTAGTACTCAAGCTCTCTTTTACAGAAAAATGGTAGAGAAATGTACTTGAAGTACAAAACAAAACAGACTTGACACAAAGTTTCGACAGATGAGGAACTCACTTTTCATGATCCAACTTGTCAGGGGCATCATAAAGTGGGCTATTTGGCTCTAGAGGAGAGTCGCATGAATCGTAATCCGCAGAATCACTATCCCCTGCCCCTGCTATGTGGTACCTAACTAATGCCTTCTTCGAAAACGGACGTAGGTAACCCGGATTTCGCATTACATCCACCAAGAGCTCAATACCATTCACTATTACCACATTGGACAAGTGCTTGTTGGGATTTGCACATATCAAAGAGCTACTGGGTACAGCATCCAGTTGTAAACCCTGTCGAAGCAAACATCAACAAAAAGAAGTTCAGTATGCACCAACTGCTATCCAGCAGTAACCTGAAACCAGCATGTTTCAGCACACACAAAGATAATTACTCTCAGATATACCATTAAGAGACGACTTTGAAGCCCAACAGAGTCTCCAAGAAGTTTAAAGAGAATAGCACGCGGTCGGCACAAGCCTTGTTTCACATCTCCCAACAACCGAACAACGCTACTTTCGTCTGTGTCATTGTAACCGTCTCCTGTCGTCTTCATGGAACCAGCCTCGAAAAGCGGGCCACCATAGAAGTCAGCTACCTGACAACATGTCCACGTACTACTGTTCATACCATACCAATCATATGCAACAAACTTAAATGAGAATGCCTTGCAATATAATTAAATAAACCGAAAATCCGTTCATTGCAATAAAGCACTCAGCATTTACATCCCAAGAATGAAAGACTTTTCAGTCCTACTTGCTAATGATATCAAATTACAAGTGTTCAAAATAAAAAGTTCAAACGCTGAACAATCGAAAACACTGAAAAGCAGACGCCAGCTAACAAGATATTTCAAATTGCGAATGAGAGAAATCCTACCAATTCAGCAATTTTCTTGATCATGAGAGGGATGTTAATCCCTATTCCTTTGACTATAACACGAGTCAAATCCAGCAGCTTTAACAGATTTGTATCCTTGTTCGTGTCAACAAGTAACACGTCCAGTCCACGAAACATGGTACCCATTTGCTGCAAGTCATTCAGAGTTGGTATAGTTCGATAGCGAACTTTCATGCTTTGATTCTGCGAAAGATCCATCAGTCAAAACAGATGAGACTAGCTCATGCAAGAAAATAAAAATTAGTTTGCAAGTCACAAGGAAACACTAACAGTGAAGTTTTCAAGGCAGTTGACTCTAACAAGAAAACCTGCGAATATATCTCATGTTTTAAAAATATTTTATTATCAGAAAATAGATCCCACAAGAATTCGTAACCCTTACTGATGACAACATCACACAACCACAAAACTCATCCTAGCCTCGATATCGGTTTCTCATAGCATACTTTGTTCCTACTTACACAGATATCCTATCTTAAGCACACATACTCAATAAACTTCATTGGTATGTCTGATAGTGATGTCTGATGGTGATGTCTGATAGTATATCTGATGGTTTACTCTCAGAAATCACAATGTTTAGAATGAGAATTCTTCCTACCCCTAAAATCAAATGTATATGAGCGCTTCCAATTCGAAAATATGTTGATTAGAGTTTTTCTTCAAGAGTTGATGTGTAAACAGGCAATGCTTCAAATTGTACAAATTAAAACGAAGTATAAATTATAGTTGGAAAGCAGGCCTAACGTACAGGTATTACAGAGTAAAACCCATTGGGCAGCCTAGAATCCAGAACTTTGGAATCCCACAGGGTTTGGGAAGCATCTCTAGACGAAACGCTTCCAAGAGCAGGACTGCTTCTAGACTTGGTTAAGACAGGAGATCTCTCCGCAGCTCCAAGTCTCACTCCCTGCATTCTTTTCACCAACTGCGCCTGCCACTCGGAACACGGCTGTGATATCTCTCCTCCACCTTGCCCTTCTTCGCGGGATTCTGCTGATTCCTCCTGTTGCTACAACAAGTCATCAACGCCAATTCAGCATAAAAAAACAAAATTTCAAATCCCGATAACACCATACCCAAGAGAGGCCTGTTTCTTCAAAAGACCATTTAATGAACAGTAGCTGAAACTCGTGCCGTTGGGCACGGAAAAGCTGTTTACAGTTAGCAATCTGGAGGGCTTTCTGGAGATTTTTCTGCAGGTTAACGATTTCTTTGATTTCGGCCTGATTTCGGCCAATGAGAAGGCTTCTTAATGTATTTGTCTTGTAACTAAGCTTCCTTATTATATAGATGATTACACATATAGGTGTAGAAGTTAAGCATTGCAATTGAAAAAAATCATGTGGCTACTACAAATGCGACTGGAATTTAGTTTCTTTGCGATACTTTAGGGTATCATTAATCCACCATATCCCACTTTCTGATGCAAAAATGCTTTAATGTCTAGAGGCAGGAAAGGTATCATTGTTTAAAGCCATATGAAGCCACTCACTTCGCCGACGTTCGCCAAAGCTGCTCTTACCCATCCTGCATTAATCAGAAAAGATCAGTCCATTTGGTTAATCCACAAGTTCCCATGCCCGGATCCCTCATACATCTGACCCTACTCGCTATTAATGCAACACTTCAAGAGATCAGAACCCATCAGCCAAGTTGAAGGGAAAAAAATTGTACAGCGAAAAACAAAAAACAGTACACTTTCCAAGCTCCATACAGTGTACGCAACAATTCTGATGAACTGACGACAACTTCAAACTCGAATCCCAACTCTAAATTGCCTCAAGTCTGCAGTCTTAATACATGATACGAGCAATTGAGATACTGTAAAACTTGAAATAAGTTTGAACGACCACGACCTAAACCTACCTCGCTTGCACAACCGCTTATTCGTAATTTTTCATATATATAGTGAATGTTACTATCAATGAAAAGACGATTACGAATTGACGCAAAAAACCAGAGAAACACAGAGCACCAACTAGGCAGCACGTTTCACTGCATTCCAACAACATGTGTCACTATATAGCGAACTCCCATACATCTGTGAGGAACAGCTGACGGCCGCTGACCAGTGAGGGTTCCAAATGCAGAGCATAGAAACCCTATATAATCCCAATTCCTCGAACAACAACCTAGAACGTAAAATTAGAATTAGTTCAAACCAATGTAACAGCACCTTTCCAGTGCTCAGCCAGAATGCGGACTCAAGCGTCAACAAAAACAGGGCGGAGCGCTAATATATGTACCTGACTCCTCAGAATAGCTCAGGTTGTAATGTTGGCCTGTCTCAAGGCGAGCCTTGATCCTAGAAAGAAATTCTGACATAAAGAGATACCGATTGATTGCCTCACAATTATCCTCTGCGTCTCCAATTACTCCAAGCACACCAGCAGCAAAAACGTTCGCACTCTCGTGTGGGCGAGGTAGCAATACCCACAATGTCAAAAATGGCACGTTAAACGCCCTCACAACCGGAACACACCGTCACACATCCGCAACAAATCAGCACGGACACGCTCCTCCTGGTTATCACCATCCCCTTGGAAATGCCACTTTCAAGCACCAGGCCATCCTCCCACACCTTGAGCATCCATACGCCTAACCCATCTCCCCTAAACGACCATCTCGATCACTACAACTCTTCTACTGCCACAAAAATCCTTTGTAAGCTGACCATCCAGCGACAGCCTAGCGCAAGACCAAAACAGAATCTGAAAACTGTTTGCAAAAGGAGCTGCCTTGAGGGATGGAAGTGTGTCAATGCGCGCATATCGCAGAGCTCATCGGCTCCGTCGCCGCCATCGCCAGCAACAGCGTGTACATGCGTTTCGTCTGTATCCTTCGTTTGTTTCAATATGTGCTGTGTGCAGCTCTCCACCTGCGATGCTACTGTTGGGTATCTATGGACACTGTCCAGATTGATACCCTGATTTTACCCTAAACGCACACATCCCCTCAGCTTTAGTAATATTTGGCTGCAATCCGGGTGTCTACACCGACCAGGTGAACCCGGCTCCAACGCTCGAATCTGTGCTTGACGAGCCATTCTAAGACCGTGGCCGTGGTTACAGGGAATGGAGTTTGACGGCTCTGAGCACACCTGTTACCGTGTATTCTGACATCGCCATTTCAAATCTTATGCTACTGAACAGGAACCCAACATATTTCATGTGAACATGTTTCAGTTCCTATTATCTAAAACTTTGAAAAAGAAATCAAATTCTCAATTAAAACCTTTACAAAGATTAATTCTGTTTTTAAGTTAATTAAATCATTGAGGTTGAATAGTGAAGCATCGTAGACTAATATGTGTAACTGAAAACGTATTGTTTGAAGGCTTATTTACAAATCATATTCTTAAAAGTAGAATAGTGTAAATGTTGCTGTGATTTTTTGTGAAAAAATAATTAGCTTTAAAATTAAAGTTGGAATTAAAGAAAGGCACTTCATAGACATCACTCCAAAGAGCTCACTGGTTTTTAAAAAACTATGCAATCAACCAAAACAACACAAATATATTATTTTACAATGTAGTTTTTTACTATGTTCACTTTATTTTATGTGGATTCTGTGAATGTTAGCAATTTTGTTTTAAACACCAGAACACCACAAAGTTCATTTTTGCAACAATTCAAAGTTAAATTATTTTGATGATGCCAATATATATTCCAAGTATGAACTCTATACATTTATGAAGCTAGGGGTGGTATAAGTAATTTTCCAAAATATCAGTGAAGTCACAATTAGATTTTAGGAATATCTTCCAACTTCACGATGGTAAAAAATAAAACAAAATAATGATTTGAACATAAAATAAAAAATAAAATGGCATACTAATGTTTCCAGCCACATCTTTTGTTTTCTTGAATTACAATTCAACCCGTTTAGTTTTTTTGTGCTTGCCGAAAATGTTGATTTTTGAAAAATTAAAATTTTCTTGGGAGTGTGATCGTCAGTTTTTTATTTTATTTTTCCATATTTTTCCATATTTTTGTTACTACATCCCATACATACATACATATATACAGAAATACAGAAATACCTTTACGATAAAGATAAACGACACAATCTGTCGGGAATACAACGAATATAGACTTCGAATGGATGAATGAATGAATGGAGTCAGATATGACATGGGGGTGTGCGATGTCCCTGGGGACATGGTGCAAGACCGTGCCATGTCCCCCTAGGTTCGGAATTTACAGTAGGGGAAGCCAAAGCAGACGTAACGCTCATCCATTCGAGCGATGGAGCGAGCATCTGGAGGCGCTTCCTTCAGCAGGGAGCAGGGGGATGATTCCGCGCGGGGAGGGGAGGCTTTGTGTGGAAACATCGATTCGGCGTTCGATGCCTTTGGATCGTGACCAGTCGCATCGTGGCCGTGGAAATGCGGAATGAATGAAGCGCGGGCGCGGTGGTGGTGCGCTGCTGCGGGATAGATTGAACAGGGATCGGTAATTCGAGGATGATCAGGTTGCGATCGATCCACCCTCCTCAGGGGCTGCTCCTCCTTCCCATGTGGATCTCCGGGGAGGGAATCCCGCGGTGCTTCTCTGCACATGCAGATCTGGGATGCCCTGCCCTGCCCACCTTATCGAGTTTGGTGCGGTATGTCTTGGTCAGAGGAGTAGGTTCGATTTTTAATTTGGAAAATATGGAGTTGGACGCAACCGATTTGCTAGGGTTTTCTTAGGTTTAATGTTGTTGCGGTTTGTCTCTGCATCGGTGAAATTGGCCTCGACGTGGAGTAATGTAGGTTTTGAAACGCCTTGAAAGTTATTTTTTAATATTATTTTTGAAGTTTTTTTCCTGCGTTGAGTAGAGAAATGCGGCATGTGGACCTGGAGCGATTGCTAGCCTGGATACTGCTTTGGGTGTAATATTTCTGATATGTTCAACGATACGGATTCGCGCGCGTCCGAAATGTCGATCTCAAGCTTTACAGCTTTGTGATTGGCTCTAATTTCTTGTAGGTTGGAAGTGCGTGGATTTTGTCGCATTGAGATCGGGTTTGGTTTTCTGGTATGGGACGTAGAACGCAGTAGGTAGGAGCAAACTCTGAGACAGGAGGAACTTAGCGTGTGACTGTGGGATCATTGGATTGGTGGACGCGTGCAGATTTGGTATGGAAGTTCTGCGAATTTGAGCGGTTTCTGGTTGTTCGATAGATGGCTTTGGAATTTCCGAGAAAACAGGGAGAATCGAAGGGGACGGAGTTGGAATTTGAAGGTAGTTTCTCAATTAGCTCCCTTTTGAACTATTCGATTTAACGAGTTTTTGTTTGGGAACATTGGAAGTATGTATGTTCCCTGCATTGGAGAGGAGCACCGTTCGTTAGAGCTGATTTGAATAGTAGGGGAGATACTCCTAATTGTTATCGGATGTTATCAGGAACGCAAGGTTTGTTGCCCGAATCTATACCGGTTTTGCAACGTATATCCGCGGTTTCATTATGATAAACCTCTCGAGTTTTCTTTTTTGAACCTTTCGATAGTATTGCACTTCAAGCTGTTCTCTGTTGGACATGTGATTCTTGAAACCCGCACTTAGAACCTTGGTATCTCAGGAAGGTTGTAGATGTCAGTACAGACGCGCTTGGTTGCTTTCTGTGACCTGTTTGAGTTGAGTACTTTCCTTGGTTGATCTTGGGTCACTTGAGGTTTTCGGTCAGTTAAAGCTTTCATTGTTCAGTTTCCACGTCCTGACTGATCCATCGCCTCCTTGCCTCTTAGTTGACGCATTCGATTTGCAATGGAGGCTATGGCTCATCATCAACAACGCCGGCGTCGTCGTTCCACAGCTTCGAAGGAATTGGCGCACGGCAACAGGTGAGAGTGGGATTTTTTGTCTATCTTTGTCATATGGAATTACACTCTTTCAAGTGGGAGGATTGTGTATTGATATCCTTAGTGTTGAAGTTCTTGATGTATGTTTCTGGGATTGAAAGCTAGAGAAGTAGGTTGGATTGACTACTCAACTACTCTACATTTGAACTACTTCTTTGGTTTGTTATTTGGTGGTGCTGAGTGTACAGGTTAGTTGTTAGGGTAGATGAGTATTGTGGGTATAGACCAGCTTGTCATTCAACTCTTATATGTGGAACTTGAATTGGTATTCTGTGCATTCGTTCCTCTACTGCTTGTTGGCACGGTGGATATGGCTTCAAGCTGTATTGTTCAGTAACTGTATACAGAAACACAGGATTAACAGAATTGTCCCTTGTTATCTGAGTTCTGAGCCTCTTCTCATCTTGAAGGTGATGCTCTCTTTGCCAAATTATTCTCGAAAACTCTGGCTTTTACCAATTTTTTGCGTGGTTATATTCAGGAAAATATATGATCCACGACGGTGGCATAAGCGGACAAACAGTGGTTCAGAGATAGGTGGGCAGCCCCCAGCAGGTTGGGTCCTTATATGGGCTGGAAGGTTCAAGCGCTGGCGTAGGCGGTGGTTTGTTGCAAACCCTCCCGGGCTGCTTCTCCACTATAAGAATTCAAATCAAATTGGCCGTCACGGGTGCATCAGTCTCCTTGTGCGTGAGGCTCTCTCTCTTGAGTCTTATTGAACTACATGAGAAGTTGAAGGTTTAGAATACCTTCACTGTTAATCATGATACAATCACCGTGTGTGAAATTTAATGCACTGTAGACTGCTATTTATTTCGCCCGTTTATTTCTCTATGGACAGGGTGCGACAGTGGTTCCTACTCCTGGCAAGGAGCGGCAGTTCAAGATTATGAAGGGTTCTATGGTGTATTACTTGCGTACTATTAGGCGTGATTATCGACAGCCTTGGTTGGATGCCATTCATGATTCATTACGGGTGTTTCATGATTCTCTAGAGAGGGCTCAAGGTGGAGCTGGCGGTGGCACTTCATTACTACCTCAGCACTCTGTACCTTCGGTAGACTCAGAAACTGAGCTGGCATGCAGTATTATTTAGAGTCGTGCTTGTTTTCAATTGCATTTCAAGTATCCCCTGTAATTTATGTGTCTATCTGAGGATCAGCATACATCTTGACAGTTTCGTCGTACCTAACATGGCGAAGGAGATCTTTGTCAGTGAGACTTTAAATTCACAGTAATGCATGGTAGAAATTGTAAAAAGAACATTTTTTGAATATTTCTAGTGCCTTTTTGTAAAAATTGCGTCTCATCTAATCGATCTTTCTCGACCCTTGCTGAAGAAATTAACGCCTCTTTTTTACAGCATAAGAGAGAGGATTGGGAGGCTCAAGAAAAGGAGCTAAAGAGAAGGGTTAGGGAACGCCTGAGGGACCTGGAACCTACTCGGAAGGGTATTAAGTAGTTTCTACCAACTCTTTTTTAGATTTAATGCTGAGTCGCATATCTGTTTCAGGATTTGGGGGGTCAAAGTCTGTTTAACCAAGTTTAAGTTGCAGACAAGATGATTTGATGCTACTTCTGAATTTTCCAGGCATCCTTGTGTCTTCTTTTAAGTCACATAGGTTTGCGAGGTGATAAGAGCAGAACTATCACCTCGTGATCAAGCACGCTGTGTTTTGTAGTTTTATAATGTGTCGATTCGTTACGCCCGTTGTGTGCAGCTTTTCTTGATCAATTGCAGACATTGCAACATTCATTATCGACAATCTCCGGTGTTCTTGGATTCGCTGACACTCCGGAGGTGCCTCAAAAATCCACGACAAGTGCACTCCCTGCTTTGCCAAGGCTGCCAGAGACTAACTGGAGGTCAAATGGGTTGTTCATGACAGAGCATGAAGCTTTAGACTCGGACGTTCCTCAACAGCACAACGGTTCCCCGGCAACAGGAGATGACAGAATATCGTCTCCAGAGATGGGAGCATCAAATTCTCGTCAGAATCATTCTGCGCCTATATCACCACGAACATCTCAGCTTCATGACAATGATCCTAACAGCAGAAGTGCTTCTCGTTCATTTTTGAAATGGAAGAGTGACCCTGATACATTAACGCTCACGGATTCCACTATAGATCTAAGTTGTATCAGGTTACAGTCTATCTTATGCTGGTTATGATCCTTGAGGCATCATATTGGGGTATTGTGATTCATCTGCGTTGTGTAGCTTGTGCATGGGATTTTCCCGCACTTAAGAAATTTGAAATAAGTTTATGTGAGGGAATTCCAACGTTCCAAGGATCAATAGTTGTTTTTGAGGCAGGAATGCTTGAAGTGTTCCGTGTAGTCATCAGTAAATTTCCTACTTGTTGGAAACTGTTCTACTTTCCCCCAAGCCTAGTTAAATATCTATTGTCGAATTTCTTTCAACAGGTGCCGAATAGAATCAACACATCGGCACATTCATTTCCTTGTTTACACTGTGATTTAATTGAATTCCTGGCCTGGTGTATTTACATGTTCAGGTCTCAGAAGTCAGTACCCGTCTTCGAAACACTGATTGACAAGAAATTCAGAGGTGATAGACGGAGAAGTTTATCTTTTTCGATGGATGATCCCGACTGTTTTCCTCAGGACATGAGCTGCATCGGTGCTGAGTGTTTTCCAGTAAGAAAACGGGGTGGCCATGGAAATGCATCCGACACTGAATCATCATCTAAAAAACAGCCTGTCAGGTTCAGTAGCCCCTTGCACCAGCGGAAGAAAAATGTGGAGTCTGTGTACAACTTCACTCCAAATTCCAGTCAGGAACTTGATCCAAGCCTAATGAAGAAGTTGGAGAAAGACGTCTTTGTGCAAAGTAAGGAATCGGAAGCGCTATTACATGGCTCAGCTTCTAAAACAAGTGGGGTCTCAAGTCATTGTAGCAAAGAAGTCAGGTTTGGGGTAGGGCAACTGAGAGCGATCGATAATGGAGGATCCACAGGCCCTGGTAGAAATGAGTTATTCAGCCAAGGGCCTCTTCATGCTGCTTGGAACAATATGCAGGATACGTACACTGAGGTCAAATTCTGCAACTCTGTTCGTTTATATCACTGCGATCACATGACAAATCTGTGAATTTGGACTATAGATATCAGTCGAAACTCACTCTACTGTTGGTTATGATGAATTTTACACGATTCTAGTCTCCAAAAAGTGGATTAATAATAGACGTGCAGGATGCTATCATGTGATAATCATTCAGACGTTTGAAATATTTGAGTCTAATTACGCTATGAATCGATTGCTTTGGGATGTGTTTGGTATTATCTGGCCCTTTTAACGATGCTGCTATACACGTGTTAAGATAATTGGACCTTGTTGGTGATCTTAGGCTTTGAAAGAAGAGATATACCGTGTGCTCGAACTTGAGGCAGAGAATGCCATCCTACAACAAGCAATGCGATCATTGCCCCAACTTCAGCAAGATCGAGCAGCTCTCTACAGACTGAAGGAAAGAAACAAGGTTAACATGAGAACTATTAGTGTTTTCTGCAGTATTCTTCTGAACTATTCATGTGCTAGGTTCCCTAGATATTCAATGTGATTATTCTCTTCTTACATTTTATTTTTTTGATTTTTAGTTGAGATTATATAGTGGGATTGGAGTGGATTATGGAAAAGGCAATGACTTGTAGGGAAGCCATTTTCGTGTTTTCCCTAGAGGTGTAAGGGGAGCAGCGTCAACATACGTCCTGGTGGTTTGCATTTTGCACTAGTCATACTCATGCCTTCCAATTTCCATGCAGAAACAATGTGAGTGTGGTCGTAAAAACATCTCTGAAGAGGAAATCGAAGAAGATGGTGAAGATACTGAAGAGGAGATTGCAATAGTACATCCTGATGTTGGAAACGAGGTATCAAAATCGAACGATCTATTGGAGAAAGCAATATGACTGATTTTCATGCTAATTTTGATGACTCCTCGTTTTAGTGCCTGTCGGTGTTTCGAAGTTTATTTTTATTTAAAACTTCACTTTAAGATTCGTGTATTTTGCAAGTGACTACATAATGTTGTTTGGTAGCTTATTTAGCTTTGTATTGGAGTTACTGGACAAAATAGACCACATTATTCAGGTCTCATTGCCATCTAATTTCAGGCGTGTACTGTTCACTCTGCAGGAGTACTTTGAGGCCTTGGAGGTCTTGAATCATCATGAGTTTGCAGCTCGATCAATTTCACCAGATGAACAAGGAATTTTAGCTGAGACTGCTGATGGTAATCAAGAACCCCCTGAAGAAGCTGAAACAGGGGATGCCGATTTTCTATCTGAAGTCGAAGGAGAAGAGATCGATATGCCCAGGATAAGGTGGGATCATGCTTTGTTGTAATTTCGGCAGTCCCACTCATCCGAGTTTTCTTGATAATCTCATTCGAGGTATCTCGATCCATTTACAAGTGCGTCTCTTAGCGTCTTCTAATCTCTTCTTTTTTAACTGCTCTCAGACTACCAGCTCCTAGACCACTTTCTCGAGGTTTCACGGTATGGACAGTTTTGAAGAATGCAGTGGGCAGGGACCTCAACCACATCACAATGCCTGCCACCATTAACGAACCCCTCTCAGTGCTTCAGAAGTGTGCTGAAGAACTGCAGTATCGGTACGTATGTTTGTCTTTGAAGTTTTATCTCTTCACGCTGTAGTTTGTTGACGAGGCATCTGTAATTAAATTAATTGTGTGTTGCCTCAAGCTTTATAGGCGAGTCCGCGGAATTTGACGTTACATTTATATTTTTCTTCTGCGTCATATAGTGTAGTACTGAGATCTCCAACTTTGATTCTGTTTTAATCATGTGTTCTGTTTATTGATCTTACTATGTCTTCATTGTGATCATATTTTGCAGTCATTTGTTGGAACAAGCAGTTCAGAAGGAGAACTCTTTAGAGCGATTGCTTCTGGCCAGTGCATTCGCTTGTGCTAGCTATTATGGGAGCATTCACCGCGATGCAAAACCTTTTAATCCTTTATTGGGGGAAACGTATGAGTATCAAGATAACCGTTGTTGGTTTTTAGCTGAGCAGGTGCGATTTAGTGACGTCGATGCAAATATTTTCATGCATGGAAATGATCTGTTTTTTTGTGTTTTATTCTTTTTTTGTTCTGATTGTGAGTATGTGTGTTTTTTTGATTGCTTACTTGGTTGTACTCATGCAGGTCAGTCATCACCCACCAATACTAGCCTTTCAAAGTGAAGACATAGGTGGTGGATATCAAATTTATGGCGAGATTGAGATTAAGAACAAGTTTTGGGGAAGAAGTATTGAGGTTTGTGCCATAATCACCCCTCGACATGTTATTATTTTAGGCAAGTGTCAATGTCCTTATGACATTCATTTCATCGCTTCTTGCTGCAGGTTCTTTGCAACGGAGCTGTCCATTTAAAAATTCCTAAGTATGAAGATCATATCACATGGAATCGGGCAACTCTTTGTATTCATAATGTACTTGTAGGTAAAGCATGGATTGACAATTATGGAGAAGTGTCCGTTATAAACCACACGACGGGCGATGTCGGTCGTATTCGTTTTCACAAAGCAAGTAGCAGGGAGCAATGTCGCATCACTGGGAAGGTTTATTCTGGTCACTTAAGTAATATCTACGTTTGAAACTATTGAAATTGCTTAAACTTTACTCTTGTTTTGACTATTGTGGTATATTGGGTTTGGCGTAGCTTAAGGTCAGTCTCTATTGGAAATCCAATTCGATTTCAATGACGAACTCTATCTCCCAGAGTTTTGAAACTAAGAGCCTTGATATTGCTGATTGTTTTTTGGCAGATGTATGATTCAAAAGGGGTTGCCCATTATACCATTTTTGGTAATTATATGGAAGCAGTTTACTCATGTCCAGAGTCATGCACCAATTTTGACATCAATGGCCCCGATGTGAGACTACTTTGGAAAGCTCCTGAGCAGATAGAAGATTATCGCCAGCAATATTGCTTCACTCGATACTCGCTAGCCCTGAATGGTGAGAATGTTTACATTTATTGGTTTACTACTTGATGTGCAGCTTTTGTGTCTTCAGGATGTGATATATTAGCAGGTCAGATGTATGGTGATCTGAATTTCTTTTGGATTTTGTTTTTTCTCCCCCTGAAAGAAGTAAGAGATTCTACCTTTTGTTGTACACTGACACTTTCTGCTTCATGCAGTTCGGACTATATTCATCCAGCTGATACAATATATTTATTCTTTTGTTGACTGCAGAATTAACACCGAAGTTATCTTATGCACTTCCTCCTACCGATTCAAGGTTTCGACCTGATCAACGTGCACTGGTAAGAACGAGATATGTAGAGTATGTATGTAGTATGCTATTTTGGCTATGTTCATAGTTTAAGCTCTCTTATATTTGCTGCATGATCCCCGTTGATGTGTGTGTATGTGTGTGTGTGTGTTATTATTTTTTGGTTTTGAATGAATTCTGAAGAACGCTATGTGTCTTTTTACATTTCAGGAGGATGGTGATTTGGATAAAGCTACCCCAGAAAAGCTGCGTTTGGAAGATAAGCAGCGGATTGCTCGAAGGGTGCGGAAAGAGCAGGGTGTAGAATGGCAGACCATGTGGTTTACCCAGGTTCATTTGCTAAATCTTCTTCCAGGGCTTGCGATTTTGTTTCACTTCTAATATCGTGAATTTAGAGACATTGTGTGATCGTATTTTCATGCTTTTACCACACTGAAGAAGCATCAGGCACACAGTCGAATAATCTTGAGCCGCCAGCCGATTCCCCCTCAAAAGCATCACTTCCAAATAGCAAGGATAGGTCAATACACAGAATCTATATTCGGATAACAAATCTTAACGAATTTTCACGTCGTATTGTGCTTTTCTGTTACAGAGGGATCCTGAAGTATCAGAGGTGAAGACGATTGAAGAGGGTAATGTCGAGCCGTCGTGGGTGTACAAGGGCACTTACTGGGACGCTCGTGAGAAGCTAGATTGGGAAAATTGCCCCGATATCATGTAGGTTATTGGTACGTGATGAGTTGTAATCGACTAGGTTGGATCGCTGACCCGTATGATTTTCTGGACTTCATTGCTCGTACGTATCATATCATTCTTTGGGTAGGATGGGAGAGCTAAAGGTTGTGCACTTGACTTTGTATAGGAATCAAATAGGCAGAAGATTTTTTAGAGTATGTAAATGCCAATTTATACTGTGGCTTGCAGGGATTCGTCAGCCACCAGCCTACTACCCGTTATCAAGCAGGCTGAGAGAGATACTGTATAAATAATTTGCGGAAGTTTGCGGATTCATTTGGTCATCTGCCTTGAAGTATTTTGGTTTTGCACATTTCAATGCCTGCTAAGGGTTGCACCGCAATTTGAATCTCATCACGTGCTGGATGTCGTCCATAAGCTCTAACGTCTATTGTTGCAACTTTGAATGAAGGGACTTCCATCTTATTCTAATCCACAATCTGACAGACTTAAACTACAGCTGGTGTTATGGTTGAGGCAGAAATCTGCTTCGGAGAGAACCTCTCGGTTTTTGCCCGTTAAGAATGTGCGAGGCACCACAACCAAATGATTCATGTATCGTAAGAGTGTTGGATCTACGAGAGAAAACTTTACATTTTCCCAATAATTTACTTCTGAGTTTCATATAATTAAAAAAATCCTGTTCGCTATTAAATCCTTTTCCCTGTTGCAGTGCTCTGCAACACAATTGTAATGGTTTCATGGGATTCATATGATGCTCACTCAACACTAAATGTTTTCAAATTCGTTCTTTTTTCTTCTTGTAAAAATGAAATTAGCATGCGTTCATTGGACCCAAGTTTCGTTGCAATATAATGGCGGAAAAGTGCACGTGATGATGGGATCTGACACTCAGAATTGTTTGTTTGTTCAATAGTAACTTACACATAGCATGGCCTTTTTCCGCTGCGAAATCCCTCCAATTCCACATCGAGAAGTGAAGACGGTACCAACTTCATGGCATTGTAATTGTCCACAAGGAAACGATGAAAATAACTTTCACAACGCCTCGTTGAAACTGAAAAATCCACCTTCATCGTCTTCATCGATTTCAAATTGTCGTCATCGTCATGCCACGAAGGCGTTCGAGGGACGCAGCACGAGGATGGTGAACCCCACAAAATTGATGAACAGGCAGTCGAAATCTCTCATTCTTTCTCTCTCTCCCTGTGTGTGTGTGTGTTTGTGTGGGGCCTGCCACTAGTCTGCCAGCGCCATCGGATTTGAACCTCACATTTGATCTCACTTTTAAGCCATTCTTCAACCCCATATGAGCAGTAAACATTTGTAGGCCCCATTGTACCTCCGCAATCTGCATGTAATGTTGTGGGTACTGGTACAACATCGGAGTATTAGCATTTGAGCTTTCAGTACGGGTCGTGCAAGGCTGCGATGGAAGCTGTAGCCCACAGCGCTGGCGCGGCAGTGCTCCCCTTGGCTGCTCCCGCTTCAAGAGCTTCGTGTTACGCGAGCTCCACGTCGCTGGGAGGAGGATTCCTCATTCGGAAATTCTCTGCTGCGGGGTTGAAACGAGTGAATTTCAAGCGGGATGACAGCAGGAGCGTTGTTGCGTCCGCGAAGGCTGACGCGCAGGGGGAGACTCTTCCAGCTCTAGCGAGCGTAGTGGCAGACGACGCTGTATCTGAGGTTCTTACACCGTTACCTTTTCTCAATACGCTGGAACTTCATTTTGCATCATTGTCTTCTCCTTCTAAATTTTTTTGAAACGACCTCCATAACCCATCTACGGAGCAGTTGTTGCAGGGTCACCAATATGCTTAATTTCGTCTAAGCTCCCACATTCCGGCTGGGGTTTCTGAAAATCTTCAGAATCTCCATCCATGTTACCATTAATTGTTAGTTCATAGGGATCGCTCCCAGAAAACCGTAGTTTACACGGATCATTGGGCCTTGTCGATCAGACTTTGAAAACTTTTAGAACAGATGAATTACTGATATTTGTGGTTTATCATCACCCATTAGTAGACGTTTTATTGTATAGTTCTTGGAGAACCCAATTACAGAATCCCGGTTTACGTTGCAAAGGTCGAGCATAGTCCTTGAGAGAACCAAAATGTGCCCTTTATGTCAACTCCGGGATTTAGTCTTGCTTTTTAGTAGCTACAGCTTGTTAGTTCAAAGTTGTCCGAATGGTCTGAGTCTAGAACGAGCCTTAACTATCTACGGTAACTCATTTTCCCACAGGTGGATCAACCATCTATGAACCCTCCAGAAACCGCAAGCATAGGTGCAGATTCATCGTCACAGGCTCTCCCAGACATGAGCTCTGATTCTCAACCTCCATTTCAACCTGCACCGTTACCGGGCTGGGTGGCGGTGACAATAGGAATCACAGTTCTCATCGCTGCGGCGTTATTCCCGCAGTATCATCTGGGCCCACTGGAGGTGCTTCGGATGGGATTGTACTCCGTTGCAACACCTCAGGTGCTGCAATCGGTGCTCTACGTTGGAGTGGTCCTACACGTCTTGGAAGCAACGTATGCTTGGTATTTAGCTGGGAGAGTTGATCCCCACAATCAGACTCTGTGGTTCTGGCAAACTCTCTACTTGGGCATGTTTTCTTTGAGCATTTTGTTGGGGAAGGCCTCCCAGTCCAAGCAAGACTGAAGCAACAACGCACGTTGCGAGAGGGGAAGCTCGATGTCTGTGATTTCTAGTGTGTATGCCGGGGTTGTTGCCGGTGTCGGTGGGTTTTCCTGCTTGCTTGCTTGGCCGGTAATGTGCTTTTTACTTCTCTTTGTTACTTTTTTCTTTATGGAAAGTGAATATGCACTCGACGATTTTGCTGCCGCGGTCGCTTCAGAATCCCAATCTTGGGTTGTTCAACCAATTGGTCAATATTCGATTTAGATGAATTAGTATCAGGATTGTATGTAATTTCTCAATTCATTGTATTATTTTGATAATAAAGATTCATAAGATTGCATTTCTATGATACTGTCTTAAATTGATATTTTGTTGACTAGTTTTTTCCGCTGCATTAGTTAATACAGTATAGATTTTAATGCTAGTATTGTCAAATGGCTTTTCCTTTATTGGAATATAAAAATGCTTGACCCTGGCTTCAAGGGGTTTGAGTCAAAAAGAAAAAAAGAAAAAAGAGTTTGAGTTTTTTTGTGATAAATACTCCATGAAATATCTACTGTAATGTTTAATACTAAAGAGTAAAATAAAAATTTCTACCAATCATTCACCTGTAAATATTTGAATGCGTTACTTCGTATAAATTTAGACCTTTAAAAATCTAAATCTCAATTCGAAATGTTATAAGCAACTCTTACAACAATCTACAAAGCGTAGTATTTTTTTTTAAATGCTTCAAAGTGTATTTTATTTTTCTATAGTAAACAACTTGAAACAGTAAGCACAATCTAGATTATGATATTATTTTTGGAAATAAAAATTTATTTTTAAAACGATCTAAATCTAGTGTAAAAGTCGTTATATAAAAAAATTAAAATTTTAATAATGCTCAGTAAATAAATCTTTCTTTTAGATTAAATAAATGCTGTGATAATTCCATGAGTGCTACGAAATACCACATTATTTTTTTCAAAAGCAACTTTTTGGCCAAACTTTTTTAGTACATAAATTAAAATCTGCATTAAATTGAGTTTGTAATTTTTTTTCTTACCATCATAAATTCAATTGTACAATTTGAATACAGCTGCATATTTTTTCACAATTTCACCTCTAAAATAAAATAGTTTTACGTACAACAGAAGAAGTAATCAACAACCCACTCACCATGGTTAGTAAGTAAATAAATAATAAGTTTTGCCATGAATTGGGTTACAACTACTTGTGATCAAAACCAAGTATTTGACACCCCTTGCCTATTATTATAAGATATTCCATTTCAGTAGATGTCATTCCTCTGAGACCAAGCACATCTACTCGCCTACTCATCGGTATTAATGACTAGATTTGTATTTAGAAATAATTAGTATAAATTTAGAGACCTGTTACTATAAGTAACATAAAATACAAAACTGATAAATAAATCTCAATCAAAACCCCTAAGCTTTGATGAAAAATTTTACAACTTGGGTGAGTTCCATTGCAAGTTTGATTACTTACGGTAGTGATGTTATTTGAAGGTGAGGTACATTTTGAAGATAATTATTTTAAGTCTTCATGATCAGGGTTCGATTCTTGCACTACAACATAAAATCATTAAAATAAAACTTAAAATTGTGACATATATATACATATATAATATAAAAATTAAACTTCTTCCCCTCCCTTAACCTCCCATCCCCCAAGCAAATCTAGGGATGCATAAGGTGAAATTTCAACTTAGGTGTTAAAATCCAACCTGGCCCAGGGTTAGCTGAAGCCCAATGGTTAAAGTTAACCTGATCAGATTGCAGAGGGCTCGAGCAGAACCCAGAACCATCCATGGATGTCCACAGGGATGTCTATTCAACCCCTCAAATCTTGCTCAAGGGTGTCACCCGGACATCAGAACTAGAGTTTGCAAAGAATGCTTTCGTGCAAAGAATAATCTCATAATATTCGAGATTGAATACATAATCTAAGGAAGAATCATGACTAATCAAGGAACTAGACGGCCATACAACACAAGAAACAGCTAGAATACAGGTTTCGAAGGGCTGGAATGAATCTCCCCCAAGTTAAGAAGATGATGCTACAGGTTTCTTCAGCTTTGTTTTTAACTTCTCAACAGCAGCCTTGAGAGTTTCTTCGTCCTTACAGAACGCGAATCTGACGAGGTTCTTGCCGTCTACCGGATTCGTGTAGAATACGCTGGGTGGGATCGCTGCTATGCCTACTTCTTCAATCAAATATTTGCAGAAAGCAACGTCGCTCTCAAATCCAAAAGGAGTGTGGTCTACCATGACGAAGTAAGTCCCATCCGGTTCATAAACCTCAAACCCTACGCTTTTCAAACCCTCGACAAGAATATCCTTCTTGGCGCTGTAGTCTTTGATCAGCTCGGCATAGAAAGAATCCGGTGCTCGCAATGCTTCAGCAGCTGCCCACTGGAACGGTGTTGCAGTTGCGAAGGTGATGTAAGAATGCGCCAAACGGACTCCTCGCATTAGATGCGGCGGTGCAACGGCCCATCCGATCTTCCATCCTGTCAGAGAGAATGTCTTGCCCAAAGAATTCATCGTCACTGTCCTCTCGTACATGCCATCCAGAGAAGCCAGCGAAACATGCTCCCCATTGAAAACCAGCTTGTTATAGACCTCATCGCAGAAGGCAAGGGCATCGTGTTCCTTACATAAAGATGCAATGAGCTCCAGCTCCTGTCGAGAAAACACTTTACCAGTAGGATTGTGAGGAGTGTTCACCATGATTGCCCGAGTTTTGCTTGAGAACGCAGCTCGAAGTTCCTGCTCTGGCACGTCAAAATTTGGGGCACGCAGAGTAACTGTCTTCAAGGTGGCGCCGGACATGGACACAGTTGCTTGGTAAGAATCATAGAAAGGCTCGAAAACAATAATTTCATCTTCGGGATTGACCAGACCTAGAATAGTGGCTGCAATCGCCTCCGTGCAGCCCGATGTAACAGTCACTTCCGTTTCCGGGTTTACGGTAATGCCACTTTCTTTCTTGAAGCTCTCAGCGATGGCTGCATTAAGCGGCGGTATGCCGAAACCCCTTGCATATTGGTTCTTTCCTCCGTCCTGGATGGCTTCAATTGCGGCTTTCTTCACGAAATCGGGGCCATCAAAATTTGGGAAACCCTGACCAAGGTTGATTGCATTGTGCTTCAAGGCGAGGATGCTAATCTCAGTGAATATGGTAGTCTTAAACTGTTCAAGCCGCTTCGCAACCTGAATCTGAAAATCAGACATTGATAGCGAATCAGAAAATTAAAGTGGATGCATTCTTCCAACTCGCTTCCTCAATGAAGCCTCTACAAGGCGGACATGCCTCCTAACTTCACAACCTCCGTCTCTGCCTCAAAATGCGTCCCACACGAGATACTGCCTCTGCTTTCAATATAAGCTAGCAAATAAAGAATAAGACACCTAACACCAGAAGGAAGGAGAGCTAGAAAATAACCCTACGGACGTCCACAACCTCAAAACCATAAAAATTCGCCCAAGCCTAAAAAACAATTAAGCACGTTCTCCGCGTACAATGCAAGGATGGTCAAACGAGGTACTAATTCCAAAAAAATTCGCACTGACCTTCACTAGACTTGTCGTGATTTTAAAATCAAAGTAACGTCACCAAACAATAGTAGGGAACCCAAAATTTAAGCACCAGTAAGGGCACTACCAAGCTTAAACCCGACTCAAAATACGAATCTGCACGAAGGGAGTAAGAAAGCCGCGCACCTTGGGAGGAGCAGGGTACTGCGAAGGAGCAGGCATGGTAGGCTCTGGCGCCACGCCATTGCTATGCGTCGTCGACATAGACGCCATAGCGGCTCCAGGCGACGACAAGCCTCTAAGCTTGCGGCCTGCGCCGCAGGGCCAGCCGGAAGACGAGAAAGGAGAGCTAGGGAGGGCCGCAGCCAGACATGGCACCCGTGACGCCACTACCTTGACAATCGCCAGATCTGCTGCTGCTGGTCCTGGAAGCTCCCACCTCAACCTCAAACTCGACCCGACTCGACTCGACTCGACGGCACCGGCAGGCAACAGCGAAGACGACGCGAGCTCGAGGCAGATGCGGAACTGCCAGTGAGTGAGTGACGTGAGTGACTGAGCTTATTTTGCCGGCTATGGCGTCGAGGGTGTCGAGGGCGTCGCCCAGCGGAAACCTCCTTGTTCAATCCACTGGCCGTTGGATCGCTGCTGCGGCTCAGATGTAATCTCAACCGCTGATCGGATTTCTGGGAACGAAAGGAGGGGACAAAGGGGAACCAGGGGGGCGGGCAAGCAGGTTGTAGGCCGGGCAGTTTGAAGGGCGGAAGGTTGGAGGAATGGAGATTGATCTGCATTGACATGGGTGTGCTGAAGTTTGTTCAGGGGCTGCCTCTCAATCCCACTTCTCAACCTTCACCCTTGCTTCAAACATAAATTTATATATATATATATATATATAGTTCCAATTTACTTGTTATTTAATCTTATCATGACTATTTTTGAAATTTTTTAGAAGTATAAGCTCTAATTAAAATAGCATTACAAAGAGTTGTAATAGAAGTACAATATAAGATCAAATTCGTATTAAACATTAGAAATTGGAAAAAGATCTAAGTTACAAACTTGTTTTGTAGCATTATAAGATGTTTGTATAACATTAAAGATAATAAAATTAAGCAATGAAATATATATATACATACGTGTGTGACTTAAATAACCTCAAAAGAAGTAAATAAAATAATAAAATTGAAAAAAAAAAGTTTGCATATACATATAATATAAATTAGAGAAGTTTCTAAGTTGTATTTAATGGAATTTGTTTTCAAGTTACACACACATATAAATATAAATATATATAGTAAGATATATGTTTAAATAAATAATAATAATATAAAAAAAAACTTCATGGAATCTTTTATGTTTTTTTTTTTATGATTACTAGGGTGTCCCCAAGTTTGAAGCAAGGGTGAAGGTTGAGAAGTGGGATTGAGAGGCAGCCCCTGAACAAACTTCAGCACACCCATGTCAATGCAGATCAATCTCCATTCCTCCAACCTTCCGCCCTTCAAACTGCCCGGCTTCCAACCTGCCTGCCCACCCCCTGGTTCCCCTACGTTCCCTCCCTCCGTTCCCAGAAATCCGATGAACGGTTGAGATTGCATCTAAGAGGCAGCTGCGATCCGATGGCCCACGATGGCGGAGCCAGTGGATTGAACAAGGAGGTTTCTGCGACGCAATTCTACGAGGGTCGCCCAGTGTTGTCGTCCCGGGACAACCTGTTCCCTTCACCCGCACGAGAATCTTGTTTCGTTCCCATTCGCTGTTGCCTCTTTTGCCATTCTCAATTGTGAGGCGCCAGGTGCTTCTTTCGTTCGCCACGTGTACTGTGTAAATATCAAAATTGAGGGCCGGATTGGGAGTATCACATTTTTGTTAATTAGGTGTGTGGCGATTATTTAGTTTAAGCTGCTTCATAATTTGAGGGTAATTTTTCTTTATTTATCTATTTCTCAAAATTATAAAAGGGAGTTTTATTGATTGTTTTGAATGTGAACTCAAGTGCTCACTACATATATATATAGAGGTGTGTCACAAAGTATGATATCTTCTTTCATTTTATTTTCAAACACATGAAGATTATTAAGGAAAACAATCATCGGTTCTATTCATATTTTTCTCTAAGTAATCTACAGAACCAATATACATTTGAATTCATTAATGCATATCGTTTTGTTCCATTTCCTCCATTTTGAACATTGACGTTTTTGTACCTAAGACTATTTTTTGATGATGAAAATTAAGCAAGAGACTTTTTTAATATTCATTACCATGGTCTCCATTCTTATACTCTTTAAAATTTGTACGACTATAATAATCACATCAATTTGTATCTTCTTGGGCACATGAATATGACTTATATAAAACCTCAAAAGTTTTTGAAATCTTTGCATTATTGTATTTTGCAACCTTTATTTATATTTATAATGATGTAATTCCTAAGTTTTAACAACTATTATTCATATTCAAAACAAACTTGTTACACATATTTTGAACCTATCAAAAAAATTAAAAATAAAATCTTTTGGAAGATTGGATATCTGGTATTCTTATTTTATTTTCTTGATTTCATGATTAACTCACCAAAAAATTATTTGCATCTTGAGTCAAGAGAAACCAAACTTAGAACAAAGGTTTTTTTTAATAAGTTATAAAAATAATATATTTGTTTGATAATTATATACTACTTAATCTTCATTTAAATTAAATCTCTAACATCATAAATAATATATATATATATATATATATACATACTAAATTATTATAAAAAATTGAACTTCTTTTTTACAATTGTTGTCTTTGTAATTGCATGGTTGACCTTAAAAAAATCCAATATGTACTTGGATTAATCTGAAACTTATTACAAACTTAATTTTTCATAATTAAGAATATATTAATAAGAATATTCTAATTTATTATTAAATATTTTAATTATTTTAGTAATTAAAAAGTATTCCAATTTTTAATAAAAATATTAAAGTTTGCATAAAATTAATCTTATATTATAAATTCTTAAAGATACAAAGCTATCAACTAAGATTAAAAGAAGTAACTATATTTTATACAATCTATATATAATATTATATATTCTATTTAAAATATGTATATATATATAATATTTAATTTATCCTATCTCAAGTGTCTAGGACCTTCATAATTCATAGCAACATGAAACCTCATCACAAGATAGGACAAACTAGACTAGAACAAAACTAAACAGAACTAAATGGAATGGGACACGGAAGACAAAACTAAGCAGCCGAAATTAAGACAAAACAGAACAAAACAAGAAAATAAAAAATCCAATCATATTAAGAGAAAGGATTTGAAGCCATACATGACCAAATGCCTCAAAAGACCTTGACCAGTTCTATTTATACCTTATTCTACCACCTTGGACTTTCTAAAATATACTTAGGTAGTGAATCCTACCTAGATAACTATCTTAAGCCTTTTCTAGAAGGTTCTATGGTGGGCCCTATCTAAACAACCACCGTAAATTCTTTCTAGAATGTTCTATGGTGGATCCTATCTGGTCCACTAACCTAACTCCAATTCCAGAAACTTCTATGGTTCTAACTATCTATTCCTATATAATTATCTTATTTATACCTTGTTACAATTAATTCTCCTCCACTAATGCAAAATATCATTGTTTTGCTTCCCATGGTATCTCTGAATTGTCTCTTGGCAATGAATGAGATTTTGTGCAAGTTCCCATGTTGCATCATGAATGGGATAACCTTTCCAAAAAAACTTTGTACTGAAGTTGTGGATGTCCACTATCACAACAAAGATAGTGATGCTCCAAAATGCTGTCCACTTTATATTCTTGTTGATCATCAATTACAACTGGTGGTGGTAGTCGTTATTGTCGATCCGAAAAAAGCTTTGGCTTTATATGAAATTCATGTAGTTATAAAACATGGAAGACTGGATAGATCCAAATATGTGGCAAAAACTTGAGGCGGTATGCGACATCAGAAATCACTTTAAAAATGAAGAAATGTCCAAGCCACTAAGGCGCTAATTTACAAATTTGGATTGATGTAACAAGTGGCAAGTTGGCATTGGAGAGAAACACCTGATCACCCTCTTGGAAGATCTTATGTTGTCGATGGTTATCTACATATTGCTTCTGATGATTTTATGTACTAAGGAGGGAGTACCATGTCTATTATAAGATTGTTCTAAGATATTGTATAAATTCCTCTGTTATTAGATTATTGGTATCGATTGGATGATGGAGAGTTGTTTGCACAATTGGATGTTGATCGATATTAAAAAAAATAGAAAATGATTAATACTTGTATAAATACTAACATTGTAAGAAAACTCGAAGGATGCCAAGTATTCATTCCAATCATTATGATGAACCACCACAAATGCCTACAACATATCTTCTAAGATCCAATTTGCATGCTCTATTTGCCAATTTGTTTAGGAATGGAAGGCTACAGACATCGCAAGTTATATGCCTAGTTGCTTGAACAAGGCTTGTCAAAAACTCCCCTTAAAACATGGATTCCAATCTGAAACAATGACATGAGGTAATCTATGGTGACAAAAGATGATATCAAAGAAGACTTGTTGTCATGGACATACATTGGAAGATTCTTCGAATATTCTTCTAGAATATTCTCCAAAGATTCTCTAAAGATTCTTTTAGAAGGTTCTAGAAGATTCTTAGAATATTCCCTAAAGATTCTCTTAGAAGGTTCTAGAATATTCTTAGAAGGTTCTAGAATATTTTGATAGATTCTAGGAAGTTGCTCGAGAAGTTTCCTAATTAGTAGAAGTTGTTGGAGAAGCGTCCTAGTTAGCGGAAGTAGCTCGAGAAGCTTCCTATTCAGTAGTACATATAGGAGTCGAGGCTGAAGGGTTCTTCAGTCTCGACAACACATCTCTTGGAGTTCTAGCTCACCTTTCTGGTGTTGTTCTTGTACTCATCTGTTTAATCTAATTCTGCCACTTCTTCTTGAACTTCTTGTTAGATTTCAAGTCTGTATTTTGTGTCCGTGACAGTTTGTCGAGACTGCATTTTCACTGGTATCAGAGCTAGTTCCTTCTTGTTAGAGAGTGGATTACCCCTCTTCTTGAAGGTGTGCTAGTGTTTTAGAGGTTGCGGATTACCCTCCTCTATACTGATATCTCTTCTTTCTCAATATTAGAGCCTTATTTTTCTTGGAGAGAGTGGATTACCCCTCATCTTAGAGTCTTAAGGCGTTTTAGAGGTTGCAGAGTACTCTCCTCTGAACCAATATTGTCCTCTTGTCAAAACTCTTTTTTCTTCTTTCTGAAGGTTAGCCGAAGGTTAAGACGTTAAAATGGCTGAAAGTTTGGAATCCAAACTAGACGCCATCATAAATGCTCTTGCCTCGTTGTCACATAGGACAACAGAGATCGAAGGAGTCATGGTAGGACTCCATAACAATGGAGCATCTGGGATAGCGCCATCTAAAGCATATCAGCCTCAAACTTCTGCGCCAGAAGAAGCAGTTCTACCTCCATTTCAACAAGATCGAGTAGTCCTACAACGAAAGGAGCCTCGAGTTAGTCTTCCGGATAAGTTTGATGGAACTCGTTCCAA